GGCCAAATTTGTGAACCTCCATTGAAGATCCTCTAAATTTTGCAAGTTTTGCCTCAGCTAATCAGCAGTTTAGTTATCTTCGGAGTTTATAGTCAGTATTTAACTTTATTCTTTGCGTTTTTAATTGGTTTGGGGCCATATCTGGTGGTGCTCAGGGCATACTCCTGGTTCTGGACTCGTATCACTTATTCCTGGTGTACTCAGGGGACCATATGGGATGCTGGAGATCGAACATTGGTCGGTCACGTGAAAGGCAGGTGCCTTATCTGCTGTACTTCTCACCAGCTCCTTAATAGTATTTTTTGTTGTTGTTCTGACTATGTATGTCTTTTTTTTTAAAAAAATTTAATTTTGTGGTTTGGAGGCCACTACTGGATATATTCAGGGGATGCTCCTGGTTCTGCATTCAAGAATCACTCACTCTTGGCAGTGCTCCAGGGACCATATAAGATTCTAGAGATCCAACCTGGATAAGCTATGTGCAATGCCTTTTATGCTGTACTAATGCTCTGGTCCTTTTTCATACTTTTTTTTTCAAGTCAAGGGATGATGTTTTAAACCGTTTACATGGTCATAACCGGTGCATATGCTGTTAGCAAACTGAAATCACATTGCACATATACAGAGAATTTGAGGCTATTATTATTGTATGTGTGGCTTCCTTTGTATCTGGATACCTGCTAAAGACAAGGAGCGTTTTATATGTAGGGGTAAATTAAATTCTCTAAAAGTCATTTCATAGTCTCTGACATTGGATTTGAATAAGACTTTTGAGTAATAGAGTTGTTGTTCTGTTAAAGCATAGGTATCCAAATTTATTTGGCTTATAGCCCCCTATTTGGAACAAAAGTTAACTGTTTCCCTCATGGAATTCTATCTTATTTAAGTGAACAAAATGAACCCCCCCCCCCCACCATCTTGGATGCACTGCATCTGAGGCTACTACCCCCCCATTGTTGGGACACTATGGTCTATGGTGGAGGGCGGGTGGGGGGGGGACACTGGATCTTTGGGACCCTTTGTTGAGGAGTTCGATTTTAAATTCTCCAGGAAAGATCAGATGGTAAGACTCACTTTGATTTGAGTAATTAAGCGTTCGTTTGAGACTTCAACTGGTATTTTTCTGTTAGGGTGACTGGAAGAATTATTTTCCCTACCTACTCCTTTCTCTTTGCTGTTCGTATCATTGGATATGGCCTAGAGAAGTTTCTTAGAAAATTTTATGGTTGAGTTACGATTGACATGTAGAAAGCTCTTTAGAGGTAAGTAAGCACTTGTGAAATGATGGCCATGGTCCATGTAATGAGCACATCACCTCCAAAAACGTATGTGTGGAGCCCATAATTGTTGGCAGTGTTGCTCAGGTTATGAGTGCAGAACTTGTAGGTTATATTTTTGGTGGAGGTTGCACATCCGCTGATTCTCAGGTGTGCTCTTGGCATGGTGCTTAGGGGCATCAGACCTAGGCCTCCAGCTTGTAGGGCCCAGTCCTGAAGGAGTCATCTCCCTGACCCCAGAACATGAAGGTTTTAAAAGGTATATAAGAGATTCATTAGTCTGAGACTAATAGAAAATCATTCAGTCCACAAGCATGAGTGCCTATTATATAACATTTTCTTGGCTAAATGATCTTTTAAAAAAAAGTTCCCACCTTCAGTAATTGAGTATAGGCTTAGAGGAAGGAAACTAGGAAAAGGAATTGGTATTTGGGGACCATTGAAGAAGACAGTGAAGAAGACAGTGAAGAAGAAAAATTTAATTTTTTTGTGTATTTTAAAGTGAGGGTTCCCCTCCGCATCTTCTTTTTTCTTCTCTTTTGGTTTTGGTCCACACCTAGCTAGCTGTGCTGAGGATTTATTCCTGGCTCGGTACTCAGGGATCACTGCTGTCAGAGCTCGGGGACCATATTTTATGCTAGGAATTGAACCCAGGTTGGATGCGTGCAAGGCAAGTACCCTGCCCGCTGTACTATTTCTCTGGCCTGACTTTGCTGTTTAAGAATAGTCAGTTAAGACTTCATTATAAGACTACATTGATAGGTAGAGTTCTGAGATGATCAAGAGAATGAGCCATGCAGACATCTGGTTGAAGCACCTTCCTGACAGAAGGAAGTAAGTTTTTTTTTTTTTTTGGCAGTAGAAAATCAGAAACTTTATTTATGCCATATCTTGAAAAATAAAATAAATGGTATTTTCACATGAAACAAAAATGTTGACATATTGCGTTTTCTTTTTTTTAAAATTTTTTTTTTAATTAGTGAAACACCATGAGGTACAGTTGTAGATTTATAATTTTTTGTGCTTGGGTTTGATTATACAATGATCAGATACCCATCCCTCCACCAGTGCCCATTTTCCACCACCATGGATAATATCCCCCCCACCCCCATCCCCCCATCCCCCCCGCCTCTGTGGCAGGGCAATCCCTTGTGTTCTCTCTCAAGGAAGTAAGTTTTAAGGAGCAGATACAAAGAGCTTTGACATACCCATGCTGGCACTGCAGTTGTGTTATTAAACTACAATCAAAGTGTGAGCCACAGGTGGTGTGCACCACCATCAACATTTTAAGTGCTCTTACTGAACTTGGAGGTAAAGCTAGAATATTGGTGTGGCTCAGGCAGAATCTATAAGGAGGAAGAATGATGCAGCCAGATGACCAGTTGAGTAAAACTTCCTAAAATACTTGAAACCTTTAAGTTTCAAGAGAAAGGAGCAGTCAGTCTTGACCATTGAGTGATGCGCTTCGATTAGTATTTTCAGAGGGTGAGGCTGCTCTCTGGACTAGATTATTAGCCCTGGAAAGGTGAGAAGGAGTCAAGGTGCTGGGTTAATTTTGATTGTAGGGAAAAAAAAAAAGATCTCTTGGTTTAGGACAGAGGTGAGAGTAAAGAGGATTGTGAGATTCTTACTTTCAGCAACTAACACTGTGAAGTGGACATTGTCAGTAGAAGACTGACGGGAAAACTGAGTTGGGCAGGGAGAAGATAGGATTTTGTTTTGTTTTGGGGCCACACCAGGTGATGCACAGGGGTTACTCCTGATTCTGCTCTAGAGAGATCACTCCTATTGGTCCTCCAGGAACCATATGGGATGCCAGAGATTAACCCCAGGTGCAAGGTAAATGCCCTATCCTCAGCTATCCTATTGCTTCTACCCCAGGATTTTTGTTTTAGACCTGCAAATTTGAGAGGCCTGAAGACATTCACATAGAACCATTGCACCTGCAGTTAAGTATATGACTGGTCTTAAGGGGAGAGGGCAGAGCAAGCTATATACATTTTGAGATTTAATTTAAAGTCATGAAAATAAATAGAATCAGCACCACTGATAACCTGAGTAAGCATAGATAAGAGGTCTAGATTCTGAGCCTGAAGATTGGAGGTTGTAGTGATAAGAACAATAAGCAGACTAACAAATAGTGGAATAGGATTAAAAAAAAATTGTAGTGTTTGAGACTTATGAAAGTAAGTCACTAGTGATCTTCTCAAGCAGATTCAGTGAATTGATGGCGTGGAAAGCTTTATTGCAGTGAATTCAAGACAAAGGGGGAAAGTGGAGCTTGGATATATTAATATAGACGTTCTCTCCTCCCCTACCCAGGATTTTGCCATAAATGGAAAAGAAAGAAGTGAGGGAGTGATGGAGAAATACATGGGTTTGTGCAGATTTGCTTGCTTGAAGATGGGAAGTTATTTTAAACGCAGGTGGACGTTATCTTCAGACAGGAAGTTGATGTTTTTGGGAAGGGAGATGATTGGTAAAACCGGGGATGGGGAAAGTAAATCCATGATAGAACACCTAGCATGTATTGGGGTGGAGCTAGAACTATATTTGTTAAACTTTATGAAGGTATTTTCTGGGAGTTTTAAATGTAAATTATGGTTCTGTAGGTCTAGTGTGGGCATTGAAATCTGCATTTCAAATAATTACCTGGATGATGCTTTACTGTCTGGCCTATGTGGTAAATGTCAAACACAGGAGCTGGCAGATTATGTTGAAATGATAGAGAGAGAGAGAGAGAGAGAGAATGTGTGTGTGTGTGTGAGAGAGAGAGAGAGAGAGAGAGAGCGCACAGGAGAGAGCGGTTGTGCAGTGTGGCAGTGTGTCTTCAGATTCTTTTATTTTCTGGGAATAGGAAGAAGATTATTATTCTGTAGTAAGGATGGAGAAGATGGTATTTACGATCATGAAGGATAGAAACTGGAAATAGAGAATTGTGGAGATGTACTAAATTGTGATTACTGAGTTGTGATTACTGACTATGAACTTTAACTGAGGTGGCTTGAATGTGGGTTTATGTTCTTTATTTACTTTCAGCTACACGGATACAGGTGAGGAGTAGGTGGGTGGTTGAGGTTTAGAATGGCAGGTATTTTGGAGGGGGGGAAGAGGGGAAGTTTAGGGGTGCATATAAGAAAGTTATAGAAATAGACCAAGGAATATAACATGGGAAATGAGGAATACAAGAGAGCACTAGAGCAAAGGAGAGCATTTTTCTTTTTTTCCTTTTTTTTTTTTGTTTTAAAATTGCATTCTTAGTCCTGAATTTGCTAAAGAGCTTTGTAAAGCTTCAGGAGAAGAAAATAGTATTCATGTCCCAGATATCTTTCTTATCAGGGAATTTATCCTCACTATCTCTCTGATACAACTTAACATTCCTCTAAATAAATAAACTTAAGGAAAAGATGTTTTATGTTTTTGGCTAAAGCAAGTATTAACAGCAGGGATTGTGCTTTTATTAAAAGTGGAGCCTCTGCTGCAGATGATTTTAAGTGTCAAGGGACTTTTATGAAAAGTTGATCAGCTTGAAAAACCTTTAAATTGCATTCTTTTGTTTCTGTTATAAAAAATTGTTAACATTTGTTAAAGTTATGCAGATTTATAGTCCTAGTCATAATTATATATTTACTATATGGACAAATGCAGAAAGATTTTCAACCATTGGTTTTTTTTGTTTTTCTTTTTTTTTTTGTTTTTGTCTCTTTCTCTTGGATATTACAGATGACCATGGATGAAAAATATGTAAACAGCATTTGGGACCTTCTGAAAAATGCAATTCAAGAAATCCAGCGTAAGAATAACAGTGGTCTTAGTTTTGAGGAGCTCTATAGAAATGCATATACAATGGTTTTGCATAAACATGGAGAAAAACTCTACACTGGACTAAGAGAAGTTGTTACCGAACATCTCATAAATAAGGTATTCATCTTTAAAGGACTGTTACTAATTATTCTGACTTTAGAAAATTCTTTATATATACTATATTTTACTTTGACTAGAAGTATTTTTTTAGAAGTAATAATTAATGGCTGTATTACAAAACCTTAATCAAAGGTATATAAGAATTGTTGGTAATTGAGGGATGATAAAGTTTGATCTGTGATAGATTCTATAATCATAATGAAGGAGGCACATACCAGACTATTTTAAAATGTTTATTATCATGTTATTTTTTCTTTAAAATGTTCAAACAGCTCCTTTTAGCACTCCTTCTCTGTATGTTTGAATATAATAAAACTACATTAAAAATTGTCTTAAGACTTTTCACCAGTTAAGATTGGCTTTTTTCATTTTAACTGAGGTTCACATTAGTAAATGTGAATTTTTCAAAAGAGAAATTAGTGGTGAGTTGTTAACATGATATGCTGGTTCTTTGGTTCCAAAAAGGTATAGTTGCTTTTTTAGAATAAGTATTTTATATAGGGTGAACTCTTCCATTGCAAGTATGCCTTGCTTTAAGATTTTAATGTAAAACATAAAGTACTACAGAAATAAAAATACTGAAATTTTTGTGTGGAAGTAGGGCTGGAGCGATAGCACAGCGGTAGGGCGTTTGCCTTGCACGCAGCCAACATGGCTGACCCGAGTTCGATTCCTCCGCCCCTCTCAGAGAGCCCGGCAAGCTACCGAGAGTACGCCCGCACGGCAGAGCCTGGCAAGCTCCCTGTGACGTATTTGATATGCCAAACACAGTGGAAGTAGGATGTTTGTTTTAAATTTTACTTTGAGAAAATGGATAAGTTAACCAGCAGCTATCATGATTTCTTAAGTACCTTCATCTCTACTCACCAGTTAACATTTTGCCAATTGGTACTTGCTCTTGGTACTTACTATTATTGCTGAACAAGTTAGAATTGTTTTAGATTCATTTTTTTTCCTAAAGTACTTTGGAATGTTTCTCCTAAGAATAAGGAATTCTCTTAACCAAAGAACAATGCTCAAAATCAGGTAGTCGAACTTTATTACTGTTACCTAATACAGTCCACCTTCCAGTTCACTGGTTGTTCTGTGTAGCAGTGAGATCCCTTTAGCAGTTTGCTCTCTGATCCAGGACCAATCCAGGGTCGCACGCTCACTTCCACAGCCTTTGTCTTTCAGCAAGCCCATTGACATTTTTGAAGCATATAGGTCAGATGATTTGTAGATTGTCCCTCAGTTTTTGGTTTGTCTGATTGTTTCCTCATGACTAGTTTCAGGTTATGCATTTTTGGCAGGAATAATACATAAGTGATGTTGTGTCCTCAGTGCATCACATCAGGAGGCACATGATGTCAGTTTATCCCATTATTGGTGATGTTAACTTTGATCACTTGGTGTCCGCCAGATTTCTCCACTGTGAAGGTACCTTTTTTCCCTTTGTAATTCATAAGTAATCTGTTCAGATATATTTTGAGACTGTATAAATATCCTGTTCCCCAAGACATTTTTATGTAATGGATTTAGCATCCATTGATGATTCTTGCATGAATCATTATTACTGTGGTGGTTATAAAATAGTCAATTCTACTTCTGTTTCTTCTATAATTTCCTTTCTCTTAATGGGATTACATTGGTATCATGAACTAAGGTGATTGTATCCTTCATGAAATCAGGAATTTTTTTAAAGTGCTTACCATGCACAACTTGTGTTTGGAAAATTATCGTGGCTATAAAGAGATATACTACCTGTTCTTAGCTTGGTTTTTACATTGATGTCGCAGATCTTGTGCATCGTTTGATAATGGTGATTGTTTAGATAATCTAGCATATCTAGATTACGTGGCTAGTGAGTTGTGTAGTTAATAAATAGTTTAAATAGTTTAGGAATTTAAAACTGTTCTGGGCTCTAAGATTTATAGGAGAAGACTCGGTTGGACAAAGTTGTGAAAATTTTCAAGCAGTGTGGAAGTCCCGTTAGGACAAAAAGCAGTGTGATTATATAGGGGTAAAGTGAGTACATGGAGTTGTTAAGTAGAATTTTTAAGTAGAATTTGAGGTATATAACAGTGGGGGACTGCTTAGTGGATTATAGTGTTGTAAGGGTTTAAGAACAGAAACTTGAGAGCCAAACTGAGGAGCTTGATTGTAACATTGGAGTTTTTTTTATTGGATGATAACATTGTGACACAAAATTTTAAGAATAATAACATGATAGAAATTTATAACTACCACGTATGTTAATATATATCAGTGTATAAAAGCAGAAGACCTGGAAATTCTTGAGTAAAGTGATAGAATATAAATAGTTATAAATATAAAAGTCAGAATATAAATTTCTGACTGGATTATGTGAGAAATTTTGGTGATAGGACTAGGTAGAATTTGGTTCTTGGGAGCATTACAGTGCCATTAGTAGAAATAGTGGAAAACATTTGGAATGGGTAAGATGACAAATTTTGCTTAAAAGTATATTGGAAATTTTATATTTCATTGTACATGTAAGGATAAGAAAAATGAAAAATCATAACAAGATGCTAGAAAATATATATATATTTTGAGGTAAAATTCGGGTGTAAAGCTTGGACTGCAGCTCCAAACTGGAAATCAAGATTTGGCATTTGATAGCATGCTTTGAAGAAGAAATATTAGAATTCAGAGAATGGAAAACTTACAACAAAAGTATGAGTCTTTAAACTGTAATAAGTAGAGTGTAGGTGAGAGGGAGGAAGTACCCTTAATTCATGAGGCACCAAAAGCATAAAAGAAGTAGAAGAGTTTTACTTTTAAAAAGTCAGGCTAACATTAGAGCAGCTCGGTTCTTCAATATGGAGATTATGGAATTGAGAATAATGGAGATAAGTAATGGAAGAATTGAAGTATGGTTTTATTTGTCTGGGTTTCTAAAAGTAATGATAATACAGCTGTTTTTATCATTACTAAATGCTCTGTCTAAATCTAGTACTTTTACGTATTTTAAATTAGTTAATGCTTATAGTCCAATGAACCAGACACTACTGTTACCTTGATTTTTACAGTTGGAGAAATTAAAGGCACAGAAAATTGTTTGTCTCTTAGCTATTAAGTGGCATAACTAGATCAGAATTGAGGTTGTATGACTCAGACCTTGACTACTTTGAGGCATGGTGAATGGATCAAGATGCAGTAAAATTTGCTGACATTAAGGGTTAAGGAAGGGCTTCAGGTATATTAGCTTAATGCTTATAAAACTGTAGTCTTTTAAATTTTAGGTCTTGGTTTATTTTTTAACTAAAATGTAGTTGGCGTATCTCTGAGGTTTGTTGGCATTAAAACTACTGTAAACCTGATGGTCATAAAATTAAGCCATACATCTTCCACAAATAAGATGGAGACTTGGTAGTCAGCCTTCTGATGAGCAAAGTAGGAATAAGCACGGAAAAACAAAGATAGCATAGTAGTAGGAGTTGTTCTGAAATAGTTATTAATTTGAAGCAGTGTTTTGCACAGATGTGAAAAAAAACATTTGTAGTTGGATGCGTTTGTTCAAAGTTGAGGAGAAAAGGAAAAGTGTAAATTCAGTGTTTAAGTGACTATAAATTTTGGATTCTCAGATGTGGCCAGGTAAAAGTTGGTGTCGTGTGAGCAGTAATTCATGGCGACTGTAAGAGCTTCCACATATTGTAAATTTTTAAAAGACACCGTCAATAAGGTTAACTGCTGTTTCAGAAAATACAGGTAATTCCTAATGTATTAAATTCAAGCTGAGAGCTGGAAAGATATGTAGCAGCCAGTATGCGTAAAGGTAACCTGGGTTCAGTACCCCAGTATTGTCTATTGTCTCTGCACCCTCGAGCCCTGCCAGGACCCATATCTGAACAAGAACCAGGAGTAATTCCTCAGTATAGCTCGGTATAGCTCAGAAACTCAAATGTATGTCCACACATTAATGATAATTCACTACCATCAGAAAATGATTGTTTTTTTTTCTTTCACACTATTTGGTTTAACCTAGTCAGTTTCTGATTGGGAAATGCATTAATTTGGCTCACTTAATGACTTGATTTCTTTGTTTTAGTTGCTAAGTTTTGGGCCTTCAGTAGTGTCTTTATGCTTTCATTTTGGTTTTGCCCTTTATTTTACTTTTTTTAGGAAAAAATGTTAAGTAGTTGTTTGAAAAGCATACTGCCAAAAGATGTATCACTGGACATCTGGGGCCATTATACGGTAGCCCAAAACATTTGTCTACTGATATCGGAAGTCTCAATTTGTTCTACCACGTAGGATTTATAGATATTAATGATAATATGCAAAAATTTGCATAAAATTTATATTGCCTGTCTCTGTATCACACATTCTGACTGGATGGCAGGATATCGTTTCAAGTTCTGTGATGTAAAAATAACTATTATTACTCTCTCAGAATATATCTCATTTTGTGGTCCTGAAAGCATTTTTACATGATCTCTTCAATTTTAAAAGAACTTTTCTGCTTTTAGCAGTTAGTTGAACTGCTTAGTAATAGTTTTTTAGAGCAAAGTTACTTTCTACCGAAGTGAAGCTTTTGGCAGTTGATAACAATTCTAGCTTCTTACACTGTGGAATGTGACTCCCTGGTGGGGATTGCAGGAAAATTAGGCAGCAAAAGGTTTTTGAGTGTACAGTGATCGAAAATTAATTGAAAATCAACTGCATAATGAATCTGAGGTGTTTGCTACTGGGAGTGGCTGCGTCTTGCTTTTCTTGGGCAAAACAGGTCATGAGTGGAAAAGGCTAACCAAGACTTAACATTCTGAAGAATTTGTGGAAATGCAATTTCTCATGAAATTAGAACCATTGCATTGTAGTTTGTTGGAATCCTGAGTTCAGGGTGAGAATAGTCAGCATTCGAGCAGGTTTTTGGTAAAGTAGTATGGCAGATGACGGAAAGTCATTTCTTTGGAATAAATTTAGCTGATCGTTGGTTTCACAGTGGAAGCGCTCAAGAAAGGATAAATACCATTTCTCTTGGTAGCATATCCTTT